CCCCTTGCATTTTTTCAACATTACAAAGACACACCCCAAGACGTCCATCTGTCTATGCCAACCACCAATCTTCTCCTCGACAGAAGATGGCTGTTTTAGACAACTTCGACTTTACATTGCTATGTAATCTTTGTTATCAGTCTGTCTCTGAGATGAGTATAATTCAGTATTTTGTTTTAATTCTAGAGACTAAGATCTCTGTCTTTCTGCTGGGATGCTGCATCACTCCCGGTCCGGGCTGGACCTGGCAAGCAGGGTCAGAAGCCGCATCCTAGATTATCAAAATTGTGCTGATGGGGGCGTAAAACACCTCATAATAGGCCCTACAAGGCGTGTACAAACAGACCAGCACAAAAATATATCCTGTGTTCCTTTTGGTAACTTCCCCTGTAAATGTCAACTCCACACGTCAAACAAAGTGACGACTTCAAACCTTCACCCCTGAACATGAAAAAAAACGCAAACGACTTTGAAATTATAATTATAATTGTAGGCTCTCTGATTAGGATAAAAGGCAACAGTCATTCAAAAGGAAGCTAACCTTCCTAACAACTCTTACGTTGGAGAAACGCTGGCAGGGGCAACTTGTTGCTAGATAAATTCATCTGCATAAAGTCAATTAATTAAATTACACAAATAATGAATTATTATGTTACTCCTACCATGACGTCCGAGTCCCTGACGGTGTGGATTTGTGTTTGTTACTGTCAGTGAAACTGTTGGTTGTCTCGATAGGGGAGTAAGGCTGTAAACGCACTGGCTTCACGTTCCCCACGTTGTCATGTTGTTACCGTCACCCAACTTACAGATGTGACGGAAGCCTTCTTTAACCTATACCCGGCGTCGCACTGACTCTTTAACCTATACCCGGCGTCGCACTGACTTCACATCACAATCCCCACACTTTCACGGCCCTCCCTTCATCATTTTGATTTTCCCGCTGTAGTAAAAGTGCTCTCTGCAAATCGTCATTCTGCGGTCTAGGGGCGGAAATTCTAAAAATACCACAGCCAGGATGTAGAAAGCTGAAATTAATTTTTATAAAAATTGCATTAAATTGTATTTTTTACTTCAGATTTGGATTCTGTGAAAAAAAATTACCTCTTTACACGCGAGATTTTCACTTTAACGCACATTTTCGAAATATAAAAGATTTAAAAAATAATTGTAAACACGCTAACCTCGACCTACATGTTTTGACTCTTTGGGTTGTTCACTTCTTTCTTTTTGTGGGCTCTATATATAGATGTAGTATATATTGAGACACTTGATTCAGAACCTGAGCAGACAAGATGGAAGAAGCACTAATTGCAGCGGTGTAGAAGAAACCTGCACTTTTGGATAAATCACAGGACAATTCCTCACTCAGACATTACGTCAACAAGCAGTGGGTAGACATTGCTAAAGAAAAGAAGTTGGAGTGGAAAGTATAAATTAAAGTTTCCTTGTTGTTGTTTTTTTAATCACGAGGGAGAAAGGATTGTGAAGTCAGTACGTTTGTGTAGTCAACTCAAACTTTCCCTCCCCAAAACGGAGAGTTGAAAACGTGGGGAACGTGAAGCCAGTGCGTTTGCAGCCTGCCAACGCCAACATTTTCTTACTAAAACATTTTCTATAGGCTACAGGAACAGGTTCTGTAGATTTCACTGCTAATTTCGAT